GAGTTCTTGCCGATGGCGGAATTCGCCATCAACAACTCGGTGCATGCGTCTACAACGCATACACTGTTCTTCATGAATGTCCTACGGCATCCACGTTTGCCCTCTTTTTTAGAGTGTGACTCTAGTTTAAGGGGTGGTGGACTCGCTCAAACGATACCGATCTGGTTTTTGCTTATCACACGTCGGCAATGGTGTCGACGTGAGGGATGCCGATGTCGATCGCATCAACATCGATGAAGATAACGGCGACGATGCTGGTATATTCAGCATCGCCAACGACTGCCACATTGAGGAGGATGACGCCTTCACTGGTGAAGACAAAGTGCTTTCAGCAGTGCACACGAAGCACAGTGCTGTTGACAAGGATGAATCAGCAGAGAAATTTTTGCTGACTCGCGAAGCAGTTGTCCGTTTTGTTGTAGACTTTATTACAGATGCAATGGACAAGCAGAAAAGAAAAGCAGATAAACATGGAAGACCGAATATACTTTCATTTGATGAAGGAGACCTAGTTTTACTGTCTACAGTAAATCTACCGAAACACGCAGTGACAAACGTGGGCAGCAGTAAATTACTTTCCAAGTAACTTGGTCCATTTCGTGTATCGCACCGCATAGGCAACGCATACACGATTAAACTGCCTCGTAAGATGCGCATGCATCCCACGTTTACGTTGGTCGTCTCCGCCCGTACTATCAGTACGAGCCCTTTTCGAGATGCGAAGAACACCTCCACGGTCGAGAGCCGAGACCACCCTCGAGTGGTCCCGTTTCAACGAGCCAGTCTGGTCGACTAGCAAAGCAACCTAATCACGCAGTTGAGCAATTTCCTGAAGAACTGCAGTCAGCTCGTCACGAAGAGAACGAATAAAACGTTCGTTCTCAAGTTGTGCGACTACAAATGCGGCACGATCGCTCGAACGATCGTGCGCTAGGGAATTGTAATTATCCTTTACAAGGTCATGGAGCTTATAACGCCGAGTCCGTTCGTGAGCCAGGTCATCGTGTAACTAGTCCGTTACACGGTTCAGCTTCTGAACATCAAACTGATCCGACCCTCGAGCCGGATAAGGTGTTCCCGCCACCACCACATTTTTGGTGGATTCTGGCGGTGGTCAACGTTTTCCGGTGGAACGTATCTTGAACCACCGCAACGTGAATGGCGTCCGACGAGTTACATCATCCGCTGGCGTGGCTATCCACCGGCCTGGGACAGCTGGGAGCCTCTTAACCAGCTGATCGTTGATGTCCTTGGTCCCGTTGAGCAATATGACGAGACCTACCCGCTGCGTTCGAAGAAGGGCCGTCGAAAGACAACCTTCTCAAACGCGAGTAAAGGGACTGTAAAGTGATCATCCCTTCGGCTATCTCATAAGAGGCGCGCGCCCTCCAGTGGGGAACATTAGTGAGGTAGGCCTCCCTAGGGGCACGTTTCGCATTGTCCAGGAAATTTGGGGATGGATCACCCCACGGGAGACAGGGCAATCCTGCCTATCTTGACAGCTGGTGCAACTTGTACCGTACACCGACTGGGTTACACTTCTCAAACCTGATGCGAGCTGCATCGAGTTTGCCAAGCCAGGCCTCACGGCCAATGCACTCGATGTTATGGATGGAGGCATACCTTCCCTGCACCAAGGCTTTATCGTCTCGGCCACGTTACCAGTGTACCAGCGATGTTTGGAAAACGCATCGGTGAAGAACACTTTCTCAGCACAGATAGTTCTCATGCTGGAATTAGGGGGACAGATCCTCCTACATTTAAACAACGGAATTCGGTCCCGATCCGTAGTCATACCGGCCACTCGATCTAACCCTTCGGATGACGGACACAAGGATACTCCACTTGAGGAGCTTGGTACAGGACACTGCGGTCCCTGGTCTCTTGAGTGGTGCCCGCAAAAGCACTGACACCAGTGGCAGCTCGATCTCTCGATTTGCTTCTCTCGTGGTGATGCATAGGGTCATCACCACCATCACCACGCGTCCTATCGTCGGATGGACTTGTGTGAGGCGAGCAATCGTCAGAAAAATCGCTCGGTCCAAAGATATCGGACATGATGCCGCCACGTTCCCCAGAGCCAGTCGACCTGGCTCTTGCAGTGTCCGCCCCGGATGATCGGAGGCGTGAGGTGTTGCCTTCGAGTCGAATGCATCATCCGATTCGCCAGAATTGATGAGCTCTGTTTCAGGCTCATCCACATTGCGAGTCGCAGAACTCTCTGCAGTCACAGCGGATTAATCTGTCGCACATGGTGACTCACCACGTAGACTAGTCGCAACAGGCACTGCCTGTTGCTCACTTGCAACAGCAGGCGAACGAACACCTGCTGCTAAGTCTTGAGAAGTACTCGCTTGCTGCGTAGGCAGCACATTGTATGGACTTTAACACAATGCGATGAATTGGCAGATAAGTTGGAATTTGACCAAAATGTGCTCCCCTTCCTAGAGTGATCTAACGGTGACTACCCTTTTCCAATCAATTCTAGTTCAATCAACGGGTGATTGATGGATAGGGGGGGTGATGTAACGGGGTAGCCCGTTACATTTAAAAATTTGACACCAAACGGCGTCAATAGGAATATTGTCTAGCGTGACAATTCCCTATCAATATTATCCGAGATGGAAAATATTGAAGGAATATCATCCCCTTGTAAAATAGTATTTACGCACTGCTCAAAGATTGGTTGATATCTGGCGTATCAGCCAAGATTACCACCAATTGCCGCTAGACTCGCGTAATGGGTGATGAGCAGGTTGTCGTCACACGACAAAGTAGATTAATATAGTTCAGTAAAGACTGAAGCTATATTGATAGCTTAACTAAAAGTACAGTTCTCTTTTTACCCTTTACTCAAACAGCTAGTTTGAGTAGATTAACTTCATCTGCACTTACGAGTATACGTGAAGTTTCGTGACTCCCAAACAAAGGGTGCCCCGTTACACAAGAATATTTTTACGACAGAAAACACTGAACATACACTTTTTTCTTTCCCATTTTGAATGTCAGCTACGTTTCCAAAATTGATTCTAAAAAACGTTTGCCCCACGTGATTGGTTTAGTACTTGGGAAACTAATTCTGGTATTAAATTAAACGGGTTGGTTCGGAATAATAGTGGAACCTATGTCTAACTTTGTTATCGTAACTCTTTGGTGTTTTTTGTACTGACAAGGAATTGTGGGACTGGATATGATGAAGTCCTAATCATTTACCTATGTTTCAGCCATAGCTTAGTTATTTTTATCAAAAAAAAATGTATGCTTAAGTCTTGCTCACCACGTGTTGCGCCCGTTCATCATTGATTGGACCACTGGAAATGGCTAATATGATGACTCATATCAGCTAATCGGTGAGTGTTTCTGAATGTCACCACTCACGATAATATTCACGAATTTTATCAACCCTTGTGACAATATTGTGATTAACAAGTATCAAGGGTAATTTACATGTAACAGGCTCACCCCGTTGCACTCGAAATCAATTGCGCACTGTCATCTACTTTCTGTGGTGAAAAAGACAATATTGGAAGACTTACTTCAGTGTAGCAGGAAAGGCCCTGTCCATCTACTGATGTCCTCCAATTGTCCTACAATTCATCAGCTGAAATGCACGCGGCAACTCCTCATGAGCACGATTGGCTGTCAATGATTTTGTAATAGCAGCTCAGTAAATAGATTGGTTTAACTTGACACGCTCATGATGGTGGTTGCGTTTTTGTGCTGCAATGTAACGCAAACAATTGCGAAGACTGACCGAAGCTCGACGTAGGAGCATGTAACCATTCGTGCGAAAGCAGCCGCAGTGGCTAGTATTATGGGATGGGAATCGTATTACGGGCGAGTTGTCGAGTGGAAAGGGGAGCAGATTTGGGGTAAGATGTGCACCCGGTAAAGGTGCGGCATGTGCGTGGACTAGCCCGTATATTTTTGTACCAAAAGCGTGCACGCCCAATACCTCGGCACGCAAGTGGAACTTAACCGGTCGCACGACGTCGCCTTGCCTCGTGATCCGGCCTCTTCCGGCACCATGGACTTGACCGACGGCTGACGATGGCACATTACAGAAAGCGCAAATTCGTAAGATGTATAAAACAACATCGGTGATGGCTGTCCAATTCTAGGTTACTAGAGCTTCCACAGCTCGAATAATGTTGTAGTAGGGACAAGCTTGGTCAACTCGCACATGTTAGACAGGTGTGGAGGAAGATATATTTGATCACAAGAGACCGCGCATTTGCTGATGGAGTTTAACTTGGTTGGTCGTAGAGCTCAGCCGTACGTGCTTTTACCTTACATTCCACCGATAGTATGAATAGAGGGTCTTCTTTGGCAATGCAGCGATACCCGTGTACATCAATTTCCGCACTGTTATTCTGCACGACACTTCCTTGAAGTGAGCAACGCAGGGCTGCACTCAAGTCGTTGACAAAGCTCACGACCAAAGAAGTGCAATCGTTCTCAGCTAGCGCTTTGGTCAGCGCCTGTGCCGATCTACATTTCTGCGCGTACAGAGTCAACATGTTGAGCGTCCGAGGTAGAAAAAGCCCGGCCGTCACTGCCACATATTCTGGCAATGGGTTTAGCCACGTCAGGGATTAGCATTGCTTACTTTCCAGCGAAAAGTATCTCTCTGTACAATTGTGTCGCGCTGTCACGTCTGATCACATCCTCTGCTTAGCGTCAAGTCTCGACCACGCGACAGACGGAATTAGCGTGGCGACCGTATGCGATACAGCGGTAGAGGTGGTATTGCAACGGCTACGGACAGGTCCCAGCCTCAGAAATCCCATCACTAGGATCAAACTCCAGCGATGTGAGACTGACGCCAGGCAATGGTTAAAATGCGTTTTGTTAACTGATAACCAGGCCTCGTAGCCGCTACGTACATGCAATTGGGGTCCACTGACTGCCCAACGCCTTCTCTATACTACTACATAACGACGGCCGCAAAAGCAATGGCTGCACAAGGAGACAGCACCTACGGTCAAGTCCCGTCGGCCTCACGTGTAGCTCAGCAGTTGACACAGCAGCTCCTCGTCCTCTTTTTTCACGAAGCGACCCTTGACGCGCAAGCGCGAGTTGGCAAAATTCTTCCGCACGTCATAGTCGACCTTCTTGGCCCACACGCGGTGTTTGCGCTTCTCTAGAAACCGCTCAATGCGCTTTCTCCGAGCTTCCGGTGAGTAGCTCCCAACAAACTTGCCGTCACCCAGGGCTTCTCTGTGCTGCTCACTGTCATTGGCCGCCGAGATCTCCATGCGGATGAACTCCTCCAAGTGCTTCCGGCCAAGACCGCCGTACTCGCTCCCTTCGGATGAGCACACGGAGGCGAGACGCACGCGCTGCTTGTAGTCACTGTCGTACCACGCGCCGTCTTCCTCGACGCCCGTAGGACTACAGTCTCGACCGAGAAACGACTTGTCCTCCTGCACACGCGACAAGCTGCTGACCTTGTGCTTCTTGCCGTGCGAGGGGTCACGATACCGCATCAAGCTGCTACTGCTGCTACTGTTGAGATGGCTGCTGCGGTTCGGGATCAAGATGGGTCGACTGTTGGACGACAAGTAGCTGTCGGCGTCGTCTTGGTTCGAGACGGCAGCCGCTACGAGGCCGTCAAAAGACGAGCGGTAGGGGGATGACCACGTGAGAGCGTCGTCGCTCGTTTGGCTCGAGTCCATGTCCACGTCACTGCTGCTGCTGCTGTTGCTGATGCTGTCGACGTCTTCCCGTCCAGGGATCATGGACGTGAGGGGACGTCCTTGGATCCGGAGCTGCAGGAGCGACATGGGCGAGCTAAAGCACTCGGCCCGCGGATGCAAGAAGCTCGACGACGGCAGCGACGCGGCTGCACCAGCGTCAAAGGCCGCGAACGCCCGCTTCTTCCCTGCCTGCCAGGACGACGGCGGCTCGGCTGCGTACAGCGGATTGTCGACGAATTTGCGCTCGTCCGGCGCCGATAGACTCATGAGCATCTCGGCAACTTCCGACTCGATCATGGTCGAGGACGAGGGAAGGAGAAAAAGGAGGGAGAGATGGAGATGAAGGAGTGGCTACGACAAGTTCCGATCGAAAAGTGAATGGCACGCACGAGTGCAGACAAGACCTCACTCACTCTCTCTCTCTCTTTCGGTCTCTCTCTTTTGCTCTTCTCACTCGCTTCTTTCCTAGGAGTCGTTACGACCGCGCGATTTCAAGAGTGTGGCTGCCACTGTCTCTTGCTTCTCGCAGATCTTTGTAGGGCTCGGGGTCGGGCGTGCAGAGAGGCCAGTTTCTGAATGCCAGCGACTTAGCGCCCGATGAGCGAATGAAAAGAGGAGCGGAGGAAGTTGCTTCAAGTTCAACCGCAGCACCTGCCTTTTACACGTGGCAACAAGGGCTTTGCTTGCTCGCGTCGGCTTTAGTACGTAGAGATGGAGCCTCGTGGGCGCGCGCAACCGCATGACGGTAGGATACAATTGCTAGGTCTGCTACGTGCGACGCGTGCAATGCTCGTCGCGACGCCAGCTTGCTAACAACGGGTGGCCACGAATGGCCGGCCTGGGGATAGGGCTGCGAGACAGAAACGCGACCAAGCTGTTGACGCCGCGTCTGCCGTTTCTTGAGCGAAAATTCCGTGCCGTCGTTCAGAAAATTGGGTAAGATTTGGACTGCAGAGACCGCCGACTGAAGCCCCAGCCGATCGTTGAGAAGAGAGTACGAGAAAGATGCAGCATACTGGTATTGCTTGGTCCGTAGTCTCTGTAGTGCCTAAGACTCGGCTTCAGACGGTGCCGCTGGACGCTTTTTAATGGCAACGGACGCTGTCGAATGTCCTGTGTCCTTTTTGATTTTATGAGCCATTGCTCTTGTAGGGGTATGGACTTTGGTGTAGAACACGGCAGTAGGACGGTAGTGTAGTGAGTGACTGAAACGAGTGCCATCTTGTCGCACGAGAATTCGCGCAGTCCGATCCAAGGCTTCACTTTTCTTGAACACCTTAAACCGTGTCTATGCTCAATTTCGATTGAATTTCATTCGAAGCTGCGAAAAAGCTATGAACGAAACGATAGAAACGTCGAGACAAGCGCATCCCTCGCTTCACGAGACACTTGTCAAGCAGTGCGTGGACACCCCGAATAGCAGCAGTTGCAGCAGCATATCGTCCACGTCCAGCGGATGCGAAAGTGACGCTGTGAGAAAGACCGAGCTGTGGGTATCTTCGGTGTACTCTGCGAATAGCTCGAGAACTAGAGACGCCGTTTCGGTGAACGATCGTGCTACACGTGGCGACGGTAGAGGAGACAAGAAGGAGTTCGAGCGAGTTGAAGTGAGGAGAAAGGGTGTAAAGACGACTTTTCAGACGCTTAGGATGCAGACGCATCTGCGAGACATGCAATGGCGTCTGGGAATCATTCAAAAATTGATGCAGAAGGCGGCGCGGCAGGATCGACTTTGCTTTTCTGCACAGGAAATCGCTGCTGCAACAGCAGAAGGATCTTGCATGCCGTCGATGGCAGTAAGAGAGGGAAATCATCAGCTGGCTGATGTTCAAGCTCTGAAAGCGAACGCACATGTCGATGAGTCGTTAAAACTTGCTTCGGTCTCGTTAAGCGGAAGCACCGACGACGTGTCGAATAAAAAAGTGAATGGAAGTAGACACGATCTTAATAGCAGCAGCAGGATCATGAGTGAAGAGGGAGACACTCACGCCAGCGAAATGAGTACGTTACAGAATCAGGTAAAGGCCCTGCAGGCGCAGCTCCAAGATGCGGCCGATGAGAACCAGCACTTACAGAGCACGGTCAAACGATTGAAGCAAGAAAATGCTCGTCTTCAAGCTCAGGCAACATTCCATCCATCTACCGAGATCTGCGAGGACGGTAGTGGATCGACTGTGTTGAAACACAATCAGGAACTGGATACAAATGACAACAGTGGCGATCAAAATTCAAACATGGCTTGCACATCTACAGCAATATTTGAAGAGGTGTCCGCGTTTCAGCTAGTTATGGTGAAAGACATGAAAGTTCTTAGGAACCATGAACGATGTCAGCATAAGCTGCACGAGTTGTGGGGTACCATTTGGAAGCTGAAGGCATTTGTGGAAGCGTATGCGATTGAACGGGATGTCATGAAACTCCAGCGCGACGATGCGCTTGTCGAGGCGGAGCATGCAGACAATGCAAATGTTAAATTGGCGGGCAGCGGTAATTTGCAGCAGAAGATCAAGTATTTGGAGCAACTGAAGAACGACAATCGTACGTTATGTCGAAAGAATCGTGCGCTGAACATGAGAATTGTCAAGCAGCGAGCCGACCTCGTCCGAGTGAAGAGTGGCTGTCCACCGATTGCGGATGATGTGCCAACGGTTGATACGACAGACTCTGCATCACTTGACGATTTACTGCACGAGTTGGATGAGCCCACTGTGCGCAATGATGAAGAGATTCTGCGTAGCATGCGAGAGTTCAGTCGATTTTTGGAACAGCGTCTTGTGCGGTTACACCTGGCAAAGCGGGAGCTACAAACAAGCGACGATGGATCAGTTGAGGTGACAAAGTTAGAAGGTGGTACGGTAATAGGTGAGCTGTTGGCAATGCCAAACGCTGGTGGTGTTTATTCGTAAGTTGTTTACTTATTTTTGCTCGAACGAGTCGCAATACGTCAAAAAGTCAGGTACAAACGGAGCGAGATTTCTTTTGTTTGCTCGAAGCAGAAAGAAAGTAATCGAAGCAATTGCTTGTAATAAATAACGATAATATCATGGCGATGTTGACGATGGCGATGTTGACGATGGTGATGGTATTGGCAGTATATTCAGCTTACCATGTAGGGACACCACGGTGTGCGGAGTTAGTGCATGCTCTTCTACAGCGACAGAATATTCTTGCTTGAATTAACATGTTGGGTTTATAGCAGGGTTGTCAGCACATTTTCTGTAGGAATCGCCCTTTCATAAAAAATGGCGCACAGATCAAATGTTTGATATAGCATGGCAAGCCGTATCGAGATGGTACATTCATTGATGAGACGATGTGCCTACCGCGTGGATGCATGTTTTCAGTGTATGAACTCTGGATGCGATCCAAGTCGGGTGAATGCTGGTTTAGTCGTTAGTGCGCGTGAGGTGTTGCCGTTGGTTGAGTGAGGGTTCAAATTGCAAAGAGGACAGTAAATTGTTGACGACACCCATGGACTGGCGTCTGGAGTTCAACCGTTCTTCACCCCCTGAAGCTCTACGTCTTCCTACCATTCAAACATTTAGCTTACGCATACGATACGACGACGATTCTTTCCGAGGTGTGTAACAAACCATACGGACGATGCAGGGTAGGACAGGTGGTGGCCCGGTAAGACTTTACGCTAGCACCGACGGTCGCAAACTAAAAGGACCATACTCAAAAAGTCACCTTTTGTTGATACTTCTCGAGCACAAGCCATTCACGTCTTGTACCAAACCCGTGCTTGTATCAAATACACGTACAGGACTTACCCACACCAGCCAAATGCATAACTGGGTAGTCTATCGTAGCAAAAATAGCCCAAACGTTCGATTTAATGCACACACACTGTAAAAGTACGATGACATTTTGCAGTTCCAATGCAAAATAACGGGTTGCACCGCTCTTTTAACTGCACTTTAGTCCAGCCACACACCGTTTCCCAGACCTTCTGCTCTGATCGCTCGTATGCTCTTACCGTCCAGTCAAATCGTAAGACGTGACCTTATTGTGGTAAAGATCGTCGCCGAAGAGAGCATGTGCTCTTATATCGTCAGTGCTCTTTTACCGATATGACCTCATATCGTAAAAAGCAGACGGTATTATTCCCGTTAAGTTCTCATAGTTAATTCGCAATGGAGCACCTGCACGCCGATACCGAGCGGCACCTCGCCACTAGCTTTGCGTCTGCCGCCGGACTGATGCAGCTCAGCTCGGCGGCAGTGGCAGCACACGCAGCAGCTGCCACTGATAGTAGTAGTACAAGGAACGCCACCGCTTATAACGATAGTAGTACTAGCAGTAGCAGCGTCGCATCTGCGATGGCCGATGCGTCGCTGCCTTCAGGCTGGTATCGGATCATCCACGGCTCGGGTCTGCCCTGCTATGTGCACGACAGAACGGCCGTGGTCTGCTGGACGAGACCCTACCCTCTGGACGTCGGCGGCAATGGCGTTCGGTCCCAATCCGAGCTTCATCGCCTCGTTCAGCAGCACGTGCCCCCGTTGAGTATCTTTGCTCCAGCGTCGGATGTTGCCGCAGAGCGGGGGCGGGCAATGAGCTTGATTGATTCTATGTCCACTCTGACCCATTATGAGCCAAGCAATGTGAGGAAGGGTGTTGAATGCAAGTGAACGGAGAGATCGATAGGACTGTGCTGACAGAGTGACTGGCTGAACTGTGTTGTTGTACCCACAACAGTCGAAAAAGCGCAAGCTGCACGCGGCAATAGCTGAGCATAAAGGACGGAACGAGCAAGCACCGATGGTGCGTGAGCTCCTGTTATGGCTGCTGCTATTATGTTTGTTGCTGGTGACACGTTCTCGGGTTCCTACCATGTTATTTAGACTTTGGAGGAGTTCAAGCAGCTATCGATCGGTGACCCTCGTGTTCTTCAGGTGGGTGGGCTGTTAGGGGGATACTATACCCTGTGTATCCTACTCACACGGTGGCTTACTATGCTGTATTATAATTAGGCGTGTATGGAACTCTCGGTCAAGACGCCGGCACAAGTTCTTCAGGAGTATAAGAACCGACATCATGGGATGTCGATTAACTACAATACGGTGTCACTTGAAGACGATGGCGTGAAGCTTTTCAAGACGATCGTGAGTGCTGGTAGCGCGTTTGCAGAGGTACGAAGTCACATTTGTAGGGCCACGTTGATACGTTGACACTAACGCCATCTTTTCAGGGTGTTGCATCAACCAAGAAAATTTCGAAGCAGTTAGGAGCACAGCAGTTGCTCGCGCTTCTGCATGAACGCACGGCTCAGAGATACTATGAAGTAGCGGAAATGTACAACAACGCACCGAAAGGCCAGCCTGTGATCACCGGGTCGTCCAAGTACAGATCAGTGACCAACAGCGAAGCAAAAAGTGGGTCTAGCAATGGGGATCCTCGTTTTCGACGTGGTAACAGTGCGTCAAGTCGGGTTCAAGTGACACGCACACCGCCGTCCAATCAGGAGTATGTTACTAGCGATACCAACCTCAACTATGAACTCAATCGACACAGAATTGCGCCTTCTCAGGGGGGTCTGTATGGCCAACAGCCTATGCAGCACGTACCTCACCAAGCTGGTCTATGGATTGGTGGAGGTCGGCAACAAGACGCTGGGATGGATAACGCTGGCCCTGAACGGGTGGTGGTGTACCGGACTATTCCAGCAAGGTCTGCTGTAACGTATGGTGACGGACAATACTACAACAATACTCATGGCAGTGAATTCGCTTGGGGCAGCGATTTGAGTGCCGGCCACCCTGCCCAGCCGAATTTTCCAGGGGGTTACTCTCAGCAATACGGTGGCGGCTACAGGGAAGCCCAGTCACTGCCCGAAGACAGACCGTACGGTCAAATTCGCACGCTTGGCCGCTCGAATGCTTCCATCGGGCGCGTGGCTGCCAATTTGGGTAACCGTTGTCAAACTAGTCCGAATGAGATGTCGAACAGAGGAGTGTGACAGCCCTTTTGTTAAACCCTTGCTCGCGAGCCAAGCATGCTTAATCTGTCTATTTATTGTGCTGCACCAATGGTGGTATGTTTAACTCGCCTTGTTGACAAATCTGAAAGTATATCCGCCACTATAGTCTGCGATCAGAGTGACATGCATCTGCCAAGAGCGTGTCGTACCTCTTTGCAGCGTACGAGCTCCACTACGTCGTGGTTGACAGTCCCAGCGTTTGGGTCTCACCTATCCAAGACACGGTTTTTGTTTGGAAAACCCCGATGTTACAAGACAAGGACTTTCGTCGAAATGTCGACAAGCGTTGCTCTTCATACCCGCATAAGACAGCACAAATGTAATGCAGTGTGAGTAGCAAAAACGACGGGACAAATGCAAGCGGTCCGGCATCGTAGCAGAGCTGCACACTTGTCCGGAGTCATGACAAAAAAGAGATAGGAAGCACAAATGACAGGACCCACGACCCGATAGTGACCATTTCCATCTCACCACCTCGATGATGCCATGTCAAGTGGTGTCCCCGATGGCATCGTTATTATAGTATCAATACAAAGCATTCGCTCGATTGCAAATTGATCATGCTACGGAAGAAGTCAGGCCGCCAGAGCATTCGGTAGACGGCACACTGAGTTGACGTAGGTCAAGAAGCTATCCCTCAATTCTTTACACTCTATCTCACGTCTGAACTCTCGGTCTTCTTCCCTTTACGAAAGACGCGCCAACTTTTGCCTTTTCCAAACTTACTGCAACGCCTAAGAATTAATGGCGGAACGTCGTGCAGCGAAAGCTTCAAAATAGATAACAAAGGGCTGCTTCGCACTTGTGGAATAGAAGACGAAGACGCGATAGTATCGTGAAAAGCAGGGCTTGACTCGAAGTGGTCGACTTGGAGTTCGGACTGTTTCTCCAGATGGGGTTTCGAATCTTCAGCGGTCGTTATTTCCAAGTCAAAGTCTTACCTCGAGACTTCCAGTAGTTTAACAAACGAGACTTGCGCCAGTGCACAATTCGACGACAGCGAGAGACGGGAGTGGTACTTCATGATGTGGAGCGCAGACGTGAGACCACAAAGTGGTTGAAAGAGCCGGAGAGAGCGCGTTGCAATTCGCTGCATTGACATAATCTCGGTCGCCGTCGCTGAATCCGAGAAATAACCGACAAAAGTCGTGACATAGTACAACTTGGTCGGTGGACAAACGTCCTACTTGGTAGATGGAGGGATACCTGCTCGTCTTTTCACGCGAGCGCAGTGCGCAGGTACACTACTGTGTACTAGAGCATGGCATGCTTCGCTGCTTCGATCGGCCTGGCGGAGTGCTGTGCAAGTCCGTCGGACTGACAAGACACCAAATCCGCGTGCAGCTGCTTTTCAGCGACAATACGGGACTGTGTCCGAACCGGTTTGCAGTGCACGCGCTGGAGGTGCAGCGGAATCATCAGGCAGATGCGTTCGTTGCAGCCAGCAAGTGCGAAACGACGCACCTGTTCGCGGCTGTCACTTCTCACGTGATGACCAAGTGGGCGAACGCTATTCACAATTGGCGACGCCATGCATTTGATGACCCGACTAGCAGTGCGCTGTCGGTTCAGGACGCGCATGCCAGCAAAGGAATGCCAAATTCGGGCACTCGACAGCGAGCACTTTTGCTGGAAAGTCAGCGAGCGACCCTCGTGAACTTGGCAAACCGCTTTGACGTGAAGATTATCAGTGGCAAAGGGCGTTCTCGTAGCTCGTCGTCGTTCCGGAAAATGGCGGCTCACAACATCCTAAGCGGGACACAAATGCCCAGATCAAGTTTTGCTATTCGATCCTGGCTGCCAGGAGTCTCGTCGCTTCGGCTCAGCTTACCTGGTAGTTAGAAAATAGATGATACCACTGCAATGCTCGTACTAGTAAAGTGTTCGTGACAACAACTGACGCTGTAAAGTCGGTAATCAAGAGCCCAGATCGGCTTGAACTGTGACAAATTGGCTTGTGTGATGTGATACTGGAGAGTGACGACCGGGGTCACCGTATGTTCACCTTCGCGCCACACTCGTCCTCCCGTCACGCTGTAACACGCTAAAGCCGACCTTTGTCTCTACGCAATTATAGATAAAGACCTTCCGGAATGTTGGCCTTCTTCTTGTAAAGCGCCTTTTCTTTCGCCTTTCGAAAGTCCGTTTGCGTCACACGCATACGACGCTCACGCAGGGCGAGCAGACCAGCTTCAGTGCAAACAGCCTTGATGTCAGCTCCCGAGAGCTCGTCCTTGGTCATGACGAATTCTTCCAAGTCTACATCGTCTGCCAAGCTCATGCGGCCCGTGTGGATGCCAAATATACGACGCTTCGTCTTGATATCCGGAAGAGGGAACTCGATCTTTCACAACACACAACGAAACCATCACAATCAGCATCATCAGGCACCTTCACTGATCAATCATGAAGCAGTACACACCTTTCGGTCAATACGACCAGGACGAATCAGCGCGGGATCGAGGCTTTCGATTGCGTTCGTCGCCATGATCACCTTCACATCGCCGCGCTCGTCGAAGCCATCCAGCTGATTCAGAAGCTCGAGCATCGTACGCTGAATTTCACGGGTTCCGCCACTGCTCGAATCGTAGCGCTTGCTGCCGACCGCGTCAATTTCATCGATAAACACGATCGACGGCGCATGATCGTCAGCTACACGGAACATCTCACGCACTAACTTTGGACCGTCACCCAGGTACTTTTGAATCAGCTCCGAGCCAACGATACGCAGGAACGTAGCCGACGTTTGGTTTGCCACCGCTTTTGCCAGCAGCGTCTTGCCCGTCCCCGGTTCGCCGTAGAGAATCACTCCTTTCGGTGGGCGGATGCCAATGCCTTCATAGAGCTCTGGATGTGTGAGTGGCAGTTCCACCGCTTCTTTAATCTCCTGAATTTGCGACTCGAGCCCTCCGATATCCGCGTACGACTCGAGCGGCGCCTTGTCCACCTTCATGACACTCACCATTGGATCCGTATCATCGGCCAGGATCCCCACGACCGACATGACCTTGTTGTGGAGCAGCACCGAGCAGCCTGGCTCCAACATGTCTTGGTTCACAAACGACATGACGCCCACATAGTACTCAGGCCCCACTGATGACGAAACGATCGCGTGGTTGTCATCAATCATCTCCTCGAGCGTGCCCACGCCCATGGGCGTACCCCGCAGATCGTCCACCTTGGACCGCTCCTCCTCGTCCTTCTCCTGCTTTGGCTTCATGACCTCCTGATTCTGGATGAACTCCTGCTCCATGAGCAGAAAGTCCTTGATGCGCTCCATTTTGAGCAACCGCAACTTGCACTTGGCGGTGGGGTACACCGTCGGGATCCGCACGGAAGCGGCTGGACCTCGTTTCTTACGGCGTCGGCGCGTCATGGCCCCGCCACGCGGCTCAAACTTCTTCTTCTTCTGCTTGGCAGCGTCCTCCTTCTTCTTCGCAGCCTCCTCCCGCGTCTGGCGTGGCAATCCGCTCTGGCCTTGTCCCATCTCGTCGAGCTCTTGGTCGCTCTGCTCAATCACGCACTCACGGGTAAAAAGGATAGTAATGTCAAGATCCCCCCCCCTCTCTTCGTCCCTCTCGGATGGAATAAAACCTTCGGCTGCGACGACCTCGTGTCATGCCTATTTTGAGACCTGAAAATCGAAACAGCACGTCATCGGATTGGCTGAAAATCGAAAAGACACAGGACATTGAAGTGCCCGTCACTCTTCTCTTTTAATGGCAGTGATACCGACAGTGAATGATCTCGCCGACGCTGAGCGCATCGGCCACGATTTCAAGCTGTTGCAACACTTGGACCACGGACCGTGATCCTCACGGTCCTGTACCATCTGCCTCCTCTGTTTATGTCACATATCGACGTGTTCAGTGTTGCTGATCTCATGGAAATCGACGTGCATCGAATCACTGAGGACCATGTGCAATACGTCTGTACTAAATGTTGCGAGCGCTCAGTACAATAACTCAGCGAATGTTCTTACCACGGATCTACAGCCGTTGAGTCTGCTGCTCTATTCGAACCGTGACTAGAAAGTGGGCGAATTTGGTCAATCGCGGGGTGTGACTCTAGCAAAAGATAACGTGGAGCTCACAGAATACGTCGCTAAACGCTGGTCCATGCACCTGAGATCATGCTTTCAACTAGAAAGTAGACCAAGGATATTGATAGTTGGTCTACTCTTTGCACTTTTTCGCCGAGTTGCTTGGTCCGCACACCGCTGTTTCCTGGCGATGATTACATCTGTTCTTTGCAAGTTATGTGTGACAAGATCGGCACTCCTTCTGGAGACGAGATGGCTTAACGGCAGAAATTGGCACACTATCTGGCAGATACTGTAGCAACTACTACAAAATAGGTAAAGGTTCACCTTTCTGGTATTTTATGCACGTCGATCGGCCAAAGATGGTCAATGAGAGACAAGGATTTCTTAGAGGGATGAGATTGTATGATATACTTAAACGAGGTGAGTGCCATAGTGTGACCTGCAAAGCGATCTGCGTAACACAGCTGCAACACATCCTAACACTCGTGGCTCCTCACATAAATTGCCAGAAAGAGTGGGACATTCAGTGCATCGACTTTTCAGCACTTCTACCTGTTCTTTGAAGTGCAAAACCTTGTAACGTTTCTTCGATCCAAACGAAGGCATGTTTCCGGCAATACACGAGACGTATCTATCTGACTATACGAGTCCTGTAACGGGGCACCCTGAAGCTTGTACTGGTGACAGTGCAAGCTACTTATTCTGACGACAGAATAAGGCGGTGCCTCGGAACTTCACGTACACTCGTGCGTGCAGAGGAAGACGGTAAGAAGAAGCGAGTACTTGGTTAAAGTAAAAAGTAGAGCTGTATTTAGTATAGTTAATGTCTGCAATAAATCACTATTTATCTTCATCTAATTATGTCTGAATACAAATGTGTAAATCAACTATCTGCTCACCACTCATTGCGTGCGTCTGTCGTGGCGCGTCTTCGTTGGTTGACATAATGGCCTATATCAACCAATTAGGAACTACTCGTAAGTGCTACAGAATATTGTCCTTATGACAATATTCTGAGAATAGAACTCGTATAGTTATATTCTATTAACACTTTCTTATAAATTGTTATGTAACGATTCACCCCGCTACATCACCCCCCCCCTAACCATCAGTCACTTTAGTGACTGATTGAATAAATGGATACTCGTCCCAAATCATTTGGGACAGGGTTTGCACTTGTTGGTCCGAGTCCACTTTCCAACATATCATCGCATGGTTAACAAGCCCATGCGATGCGCGAGCAAGGCCGCCGAGAGCGCGTCCGCACGTCTCTGTGCGGACGCCGAAGCAGAAACCACAGCAACTGATGTCTCATCGGTTGCTGAAGCGACCCAGCCTGTGTCACTTGGTGATGCAGGCGCTGGTCATGAAGACACTCATGTCTTCACAGAGTACGAGCTCGGTGTCTCGTACTCTACTGATACGGAAGACGGATCCGTATCGACGGCGATCGAATCCGAGCCGCCTGCCAAGCGTGGCATGGATGATGCTATGCGTCGTAGCATCTTTGGTTCATCTGATTCATCAGATGAACCGTCGCCGAAGCGAAGGCGCTCGAGGTCGCGAGACTCGGGCGCTCACAGTGGTGTCGGTTCTCCTATGGACACCACTTCGCAACGAGGTGCTAGTCCTTGTCTCGGCACGTCGCAAGAAGAGCGGGACCGCAGTGTGTTGCGTCTCGCTCCCGAGAAGAAGGCATGGATGCCTCCAAAATCCGTCATGGATCACTTGTCGGCGACGACGAGTGATCGTTATCGAACACGATTGTTCGATTCGTCAAGGATCCATCACCTTGACCCCAGCGCGAAAAACTATCGCGCTGAGAATAAATTCTTCATCGATGCTTTGTTGAGACATCGATGGTACAGTGGGAATCACAAGCGTGATGGTCCCTCACTGCTTCAGGCGTGGAACGCCTACATCCATAACCTTGAGGATGTAGGTCGTGACGTTTGGAACGACAAACTTATCAAAGCTTGTGATAAGTTTGAAAAGCGAACCCCGACAGGTGCACGCTACAAGCTGCATCGTCTGTCAAGGGAGAGTGGGTTACCCTGTCTCTCTTGGGGAGACTCGTGCCCATGTTGTGTGAACAACTCTGCACGAGCACCTAAGGAGGCTTACCTCCCTAATAGCCCGTGGTGGCGCGTACGTGTCTCTATTGAGATGTACGAAGGGATTGACAACTTGAAATCCCTTTACGACCGTGCCGGGAAGACTTTCTCCGGCGGTCCTTCTGCGGCACAGGATGTGCCGCGTCGTACTGCTCAACCAGACCCAGTACGTCAATCATCAGTTGGGAGCGGGGCTCCCAAGTATCCCAGGACAAGGGATAGCCGCGCCGCCGGACGAGATGACTCGTCCGACGTCCGTTCACGTCGCGGTGGTTCAACAGCTGCTCAACTAGATAGCGCTGGCCACCGCGAGAGTCCTCTAATGGAGGTGGAGGAGGAGGAAAGACGCTCTCCACACGATCATTTGGATCGGTGTGTTCCCGAGAGCTTCTTTGATCGCGTAACGCAAGGGTTACGCGGCGATCTCGAACATGAGCGGGACAGGCGTCTCCAAATGGCGGACACTGCCTTGAAGCATCGAGCTGAGTTTGCCTTTGCTCAGCTTGAGAACGAGAGATCTCTGACATCTCTTCGTGACGAGCTAAGGGTAGCTCGTGGGATTGTTGATCGGTCTCGGGATGAGATAGCTGCTCTTCAGACCCTTGTTGATGCCCACCATCGGGAGCACAAGGCTCTCTGCGAGATGCTTGAGCGCAAGGGCGTTCTTCATCGGAAGAAGCAGCGTACTGTTGGTACGGCTTAAGCCGACCAACGTAAAACTTGGGATGCGTTCGCATTTTACGTGGTAACTCGATCGTGTATGCATTGCCTAGGCGGTGCAATACACGAAATGGGCCGATGTACTTGGGTAGTAGTTTACTGCTACCCAAGTTAGTCACTACATGCTTTGGTAGGTTGACCGTAGACAGTTGAACTAAGTCACCTTTATTAAATAAAAGAGTGTTTGCCCTTCCATTCTTGTCAGCGTTTTGCTTTTGCTTATCCACCGCTTCGGCGATGAAGTCTTGCACAAAACGGACTACCGTTTCACGAGCCAGTATGAACTCATCTGATGACTCGTTAGCTTCAGTGCGCTGTGAGCGCACTGCAGCAAAATCAACCTTTTCTTCAGTGAGGGCTTCCGCACTCTCACTGGGATCATCTTCTTCAGTGAGGGCTTCCGCACTCTCACTGGCATCATCTTCTTCGATATCGATGTTATCGATATCGGCATTAAACGCAATGACCTCTTCGTCAGAGCGTGATGAGCGTGAACCAAATCGGTTTTTGCTCGCGCGAGTCCCTCCCCCCTTAAACCAGAGTTACACTCTAGTAAGGTGGGTACACGCGGATGGCGCAAGCCATTCACGTAAAACGGTGTATGTGTCGTGGACGCATGCACCGAGTTGTTAATGGCAAACTCTACCATGGGCAAGAACTCACTCCAACTCTTAAAGGAGTGTACGTATCCTCGAAGTATCTCTTCAAGGACACGATTGGCACGTTCCGTCTGACCATCTGACTCTGGATGATCAGATGTCGACATCTTCAAGCGCGTTCCGAGTGATTTGAACACGGAACGCCAGAAACCAGCAGTGAATCGTGGATCTCTGTCTGATACGAGTTCACGGGGCAACCCATGAAGTCGGAAGATGGTGTCAATAAAGACACAAGCACAGCCACTTGCCGTGATTGACTCTGGTACAGCCACTAGGTGTACCATTTTGCTGAATCTGTCAACAAATACGAGAATACCCGTATTCCCGCGTGCGTCTTTGGGTAACCCGAAGACGAAATCCATTGAGATGGATTCCCAGCACTCAGCCGGAACCGGTAGAGGCTGCAATGGTGCACGCAGTGAAGGACTTGACTTCACTCGTTGACAGAATTCGCATGCGCGAACATACTTTCGCACAAACCGATACTGGCGGGGCCAGTAAAAGTCTCGACTCACCGTGAGATATGTTTTCTCCCGGCCACGATGTCCTCCTATAGGAGCATCGTGATACTCGAACATGATCCGCAAACGCAGATCAGTATCATCTGGAATGACTACACGTGGTGTGTCACCAGAAACGGCTGTATAATACAGTAAACCGTTTCGAGTAGTGTATCGATCTGATGCAGATCGATACGCAGGCGACAATCGTTTCAACGATTCTCGGGATGGTTGAGAGAGATGTGTCAACAACTTCACAATCTCACCATCTTGGGCGTATGCCCGCCTCACATCATCATACAACGTTGTAGATGGGACTGAGGACGTCATAACCGCAACAGTGACTGTCTCACTGTTGGGTTTCGCGACTGTTTCAAAGTCGGGACGACGTGAGAGTGCTTCAGCGACGACATTAAGTCGTCCTGGTTTGTACTCGACCGTAAAGTTGTATTCTGCAAATAATGACAACCACCGCGCCATTCGTTGTGAAAGGTGCGGGCTGTTCACTGCCGTGCGTAATGACGCATGGTCAGTGTAAACAATGAAGGGTCTATCTCGTAATAGATAGTCTCTGAACTTCGCGAGTGCATACTTCATGGTAAGGAGTGTCTTGTCATGCAGTGGATAGTTCCGCTCAGCTGGTTGCAGCTGACGCGACTGATAGCAGACGACGCGTTCAACGCCTTCAAGATCGTACTGCATTAATGCACAGCCGATTGCGAAATCGCTGGCATCACAGACCACATGAAATGGCCTGTCCTGATCGGCTATTGCTAGGACTGGGGATTGTATCAAGCTCTACTTGATACCATCAAAGGAGCGCTGGCATTCGGCGTTCCATAACCACCTCTCGTTCATTTTCAACAAACGAGAGAGGTGCACAGTCATCTCGGCGTAATTGCGTGGATACTTATGCAAATACGCCGCTAGCCCAAGGAATTTTCGAAGACCTTTGACATCAACCGGCACAGGCCAGTCGGTGATCGCCTTGATCTTTTCGGGATCAGGACGTACACTGTTCTTACCAACGATGCACCCAAGAAGTGGTATTTCGCTTGCTGCAAATATACACTTCTTGAGGTTTGCATACAATTGATGCTTTCGCATGATTGTAAGAACCTGTCGGACATGGTACCTGTGAACCTCAACGTCCGACTTTCCATCCATAGCCCGACTATGGATGAATACGTCATCAAAATAACTCGGTGCGAATTCTCGTACTGGTCTCAACAGATGTGATACACATCTGTTGAACGTGGCAGGGGCATTACTAAGCCCTTGTGGCATTACTAGCCATTCCCAGAGCATGCCGCTAGGCGTGCTAACTGCGGTATAGGGTATATCCCGTTCCCGCATAAGGATTTGATAGAAGCCATCCATCAAATCCATGGACGAAAAGATGGTACTCTTTGACATACCATCAATGATTACGTCCTTCCTCGGTATCGGCGTCTGAGCCGGTACCGTTGCAGCGTTCAATTTGTTGAACGCGTGCACTATCCGCCACCCTCCTGTTGCTTTTCGCACACAGAAGGTCGGAGATCTATGTGGGGAAGTTGATCCCCTCACATGGCCCGCAGCTAAACGATCGGCAAAGAACTTGTCGATCGCAAGTACTTGTTCACGAGGCAGTGGCCACTGCTTCATGACACAGTACTTCGAGCCTGGTTTAAGCTCGACCTCGTGTCGAATACCTTTATCCTTCAAAAACTAGCACGGAACAGTTTCAGAGAATACATCCTTGAATTCAACCAAATCTTCATAGAGAGGATTTGCCTTGAGCGATTCCCACGATTGGGAGTCATATCGCTCAATTCGTATCTTTTCATCTAGGACACTCTCGTCCATCGATGAACTACTGAGAACTCTCTCGTTCTCAGTGAACACTGTTGCTGAACTTATGTCGGTTACACAATCGTCGTCAGCGACGAGTATGCAGATCTGCTTGACTTTGCCACTACGCAGATCACGCAAGAACCTTTTATGTTCGAGCGTTGGCAACTGAGTGATCTCCGAAGTCAACTTCGGAGGCGCAATAAGATCAAGTGTATAAGCGCCTACACTTGATCCGTTATTGACTATGACATTCAATGTCTCTGTCATTTCCTGGGGACTTATTCCCTCAGCCTCGAAGGACTTATTCCTTCGGCTTCCCGGGGACTTATTCCCACGGGTTTCGGGGAACTTGTTTCCGCCGTATTTGTAATCTCGGGACTTATTCCCTTAACTTCCTCTAGCTGGGGTTGCGCAACCACAGCGAGATCCTCTACGAAAGACTCTCCAGTCGATCTAGGATTATCGTTTCGCTTAACCTGAGCGATCGATTGTTTATCTTCTAGATGTTCCCCGCTAGGGATACATCTTTGTCCCAGTCCAACCGACTTATTCGAGTGGTGGACCTTCGGCGCAGCCTGTGTTTCCTCACAGCCGCCGGAACTTTTCTCCGAAGTGTAACCGATTGGTACAATAAGGTTTTGTGCAGTCGTACTAACGACCGTACCACAAGTGAGGCCATCGCACTCACTCGTAGTACATCCACACGCTTGTGGACGCTCCAAAACGTTCATCAGATGGCCATCTGATGAACAAGCGGCAGGCATCGTTACTGTTCGATGTTGCCAGTTTACCCGTGGTTCGTACCTTCTGAGCCACGGTATTCCAAGGATGACATCAAATTTGTCATCCAAATCCAATACGATAAAGTCATCGTCATATTGGGTATCTTCTAGCGCATAGTGGATCTTCACTATACGCTTCATGACGGTTACGGATGCGCCTGTCGCAAGACGTACCGTCATCCTCGTAGGAGGTGTGTCACATTCACTGAATTTAAAGTGACCATCTTCTAGCGATTGGCGTCGCACAAAATTGTTGGACGCCCCACAATCGACTAGAGCTCGAAGGGACAACTTATTCGTCACTTCGAGTTTCAAGGTAATGAGTGAGATCTCATTACCTAGAGCAGCAACGCACAACGTTTGTGTGTTGGGAGCAACCTTCATCAAGAGGCCTACAAATTCTCTTGACGTTGCTGGACCAGTAGGGTGCTCCGCACCTACTGATCATGTCCGTTTTTTACGGTCCATCCCGTTGTTGCGTCTTTGCACCAACAGCGGACCCGCGTCCCTGCCCCTTTCTCATGGGTGGACGGTCACTACGCCCAGTGTTGCGAGACACTGGACGAGGGGCACTACACTCGTAAGCGTAGTGTCCTGTCTTTTGACATCTGTTGCATTTCTGCAACTTCTTGTAGCCTGTAGAGCGAGCCTTCTCGCTCTCTACATAACAGAGTTCCATCGGCTCTGGACCTCCGCTGTCATATCGTCTTGGTTGACGATATGATGTCGAGCTGGCGCGAGCCTGTCTCAGACTGAAGTCTTCCTGCTCCGCAATGGAAATGGCTTGTTCTAGTGAATCTAGTTCAAGCCGGAACAGGTGAGTCTTGACGGGACCATCCGCAAGACCCTGCATGAACACCGAAACCAACGTGTGTTCATCCACCGGGTTGGAACTTATACAACTCGTGAGATGTCGTATGTGTTGCGCGTGAGCGTGCACATCAAGCTTACCCTGCTTGAGCTTCAAGAGTTCGGTTCGAGCTCTGAACTCAGCTCTAGGCGGTTCAAACGTTTGTCTGAGCCGCGACTTGAAGACTTCTAACGACCCAAACGCACATGGGTCGTGTAACTTGAGCCCCAGCGCCCAAGTCTTGGCACGTCCTGCCAGATTTGATTGGGCAAATGCAACTTGCGTATCTCCGTCGTCGATGCGGCGCGCCCTTATGGCGTCATCCAATTTGACGAACCATCTCAAGACGAGTCTTCTTCGAGCCCCCTATACTTGGAGATGTCAATCTTCAAGGTTTCGGGTCGACGCGAGTGCATCGACCCATCAGCGGCAGCCTGCTGCTGTCTCAACAGTTCAAACTGTTGAGCACCCTGTTCTCTCAACAACTCTGCTTGTTGAGAACCTTGTTTGTGAAGCAAGGCTACTTTCTCGCGTTCTGCGTCAAGTTCATTTCGAATGAACTTGGCGATAGTAGCATGTTGGGCATCTCTGTTGAGAGCCTCTAGCATGACGCTAACAGCATGGATGCCCATGGTTGAACCCATTCGTTCAACCGCATCCCATTCGACATCGCTCAAATAGGAGTAGCCGTCAAGCGTAGCGTGAAAGCTTTGGTCATCTTCATCATCCAACATTTTCATGTTAGATGTGAACGCGGTCCCTGGACGGACTACGAAGTGCTACCAGGTGTAACGGGACACCCTGAAGCTTGTACAGATGACAGTACAAGCTACTTATTCTGACGACAGAATAAGGCGGTGCCTCGGAACTTCACGTACACTGGTACGTGCAGAGGAAGACGGTAAGAAGAAGCGAGTACTTGGTTAAAGTAAAAAGTAGAGCTGTATTTAGTACAGTTAATGTCAGCAATAAATCACTATTTATCTTCATCTAACTATGTCTAAATACAAATGTGTAAATCAACTATCTGCTCACCACTCATTGCGTGCGTCTGTCGTGGCGCGTCTTCGTTGGTTGACACAATGGCCTATATCAACCAATTAGGAACTACTCGTAAGTGCTGCAGAATATTTGTCCTTATGACACTATTCTGAGAATAGAACTCTTATAGTTATATTCTGTTAACACTTTCTTATAAATTGTTATGCAACGATTCACCCCGTTACATCATCAGTACAAACTTGAGGGTGTCCCGTTACATCAGAGGCATCAAAATTAAATTATAATGTGGGGGTGAAGTTCCATGAGCGGAAACGGAAGGCTCTTTATCAGCGCAAAGTATGAACTGTAGCTACCCTACGCAACAAAGAACTGATTAAAGTAGTATTGGAATAAAATACTTAGATCCAGGTACATGCGACACCAGCAGTTTCAAGGCTATGCAAGCAGCTTCTCATATGAAGAAACTGAGTCACAGAGGACATTGAAGTAGATAGTACAAGAGCATATCAAGGGTCATGTGCTGATAGCTTTGCGCCGTCCTTATCAATTTTGAAGCGTCATAATGTCGCTGTTTGAGGTCGAGAAGAAGAGAAGGAAAATTATTGGCTTGAGACAAGATCCTAGAGAAGAGGTGCTTCTATGTGCTCCATTCTGTTGCATCCAGCTTAATCGCAGAGTAGATGGACCTAGTAGGTATACCAAACTCGTGAGTTTTGATTCGTATCATTGCGCCTCAACAAATACAAAGTTTGGCGCATCAATTGTGCAAATGGGCGTCTCATCGTGAGCTCTTCGGATAACTTTCATCAGTGAAAATTGTGCTTTTTTCAAGAAGACATGCTTGCCACCTTCGGCGTTGCTAGAGGGTAAGATTACGAGTGAGATTTTGACCTAGTACATAGGACATACGTGCACCGTGCAAAATGGTCGGTGCAAGTGTTCCTCCAGAGAACAGGAGTTTGTGTTAAGCTAGCGATTGAATCGAACGTCTTCTGGGTCCTGACAACCGTTTTGAACAAGCTTCCATATTTTCTACAATTTACAATGCAATATGGCGAAAAGTACATGATTTGTGCGTTTTTCTAAAGCTACTTCTATAGATGAAAGATACGAATGCGCTCGTCTTCCCATCCCTTGTACGAGCGCGGCGTGTAGGTGTCTTTGTAGATGTGAAGAAGTTTGATCTGCTCATCATCGTATGCTGCTCCTTCGACGGCCATAAAGTCACAAATGTCATCCGGGTGGACGTTTCGGCTTATCCAGAGTTCTATCTGAGACGTCTGCAACCTCTTGGCAAGTTCGTTCAAACTCTCGATCTGTTTCGCAGCGCTGAATAACTTAACTGATCCAGCTAGTCTGTAGACACGTTCCAAGGTGCGTATCATCTCCGCAATCTTCATCTTCGGGTCCTTGTTAGTGACTCGGTCCAGGAACGCCTCCCAAATTGCAAACTTCGGATCAAGAAAAAGCGACGCAGCTTTCTCAGCCAAAGAAGATACACCCTTCTTTTCCCAAGTACGCCTTTTGTCGAGCGCGAGATCCTTAAACGCGTGGTCAGATGAATCTTCGTGACTCTTCCACTCTTCAAACTGCTCATTCAGCAGTCTGGCTGCGCCACTCTTCAAGCGCTCATCCTTCACGTCCTTCACCGCGAACAAGGCCGATGCCACTGTATCTTTAGCGTGCAACGCCTTCAATTCCATAAGCTTATCGGCATCCGACATGTCCCCGCCAGATATTTCCATGTACGTCTGCATGACTTCTTCGTGCCTGAATAGAGTGTCCTGTGTTGCACGATCAAGCCCACTCCAAGGAAAAACACTTACGTACCGCTCATACAAAAAGTACTTCGCCCCGTAAAAATCTGGCTCATCCATTTCCATCCATGCCTTAACAGATGTCAGATCAACTTTTTGCCGTACCCAAAACTTTATCTGCGCCGTTTGCAGCTCTGTAGCCATCACCTTTGTTTCGGGATTTACTTTTGCTAAGATGAGTGCATGTGCGAGAAATTTGTCACCGAGAAAACGCGTCAGGGTCTTGATCATCGTCATCGCCGGGTCATGCATGTCGATGGCTTTCACGTCTGCATACCAACTCGCGAACCTCGAGTCACCGAAGCACCACTCGTAATTATAGTACGGACTAGGATTTGACTTCACTTGTAAGGTCGCCACGTGGAGGCCTCGACTCACAAACGCATCGTCAGCCAAATTTTGTATCTCCCAAGCCTGCAGTCCGGCTGCAATGATTTCTACTTCCTTGTTATCAATGCCCTTCATCGCTTTGATCCACGAAGCCATGTCGTCTTTAACGTGGTGTGTCGTCAACTTCGACACCATATCCGCCCCTGATCTGTCCTTGAGAGCCAGCTTCTTGTATCTCCTCAGTTGTTGTTCGTGTTTGATTATACGTTTCCGTGTCGCTTCATCATGCGCCTTCCAAAGAGCAGCATTCTCCTGAGGCTTCCCTCCTCTACCTGCAAATTCGAGTAATCGAAGAAAAGCCGCCGAAATCCCTTTCTTAACCTCCTCGACAATTTCAGTAACAGTCCTCTCTTCATTGTTGCTGGTTTCGATGTTTGGATCTGGGACAGGACTTCCAGTATCGTCAACATTGATCGACAGGGGAAGGGGGCGTTGACGGGCTGCATCTATTGCGGCAAACAACAAGGCAGCATGCAGAGGAAGAGCAAGGTGAAGACGCATGGTCCAAGATCAACAGTCAAATGCACCTGAGCCAGTAATGAGTGCGACGCCCGTGACACGTTTTTGTTTGCTGGCGACTCCGTATTTAAGTGGATTTTTGTCACACAAAAACAAAGCAAATATACGAAAATAGGTCACTCTACCACAACCCAGAATGCCTTTACTAGAACGAAGTGAATTCTACAAGAAGGAGCGGCATTCGGATGCTACACCACGGCTATGTTTTGCGTTGCTCTTAATGCACCAAAACGAATCGCTGAATAAATCGAGTATCTCTCAACACACCCAAAGTAAGGGTATTGTTGATTGCACCCCACTTTTTACTAAATGCACCCTAAACACCACACCTATGCTACACGACAATGTGGTATGTACCACAAACATGCCGTCACCATACCTATGTACGACCAATTTCATTCGTACAACATATGGAATCAATCGTACAAATGGTGAGTGATCTACCAATCAATCCTCCTTGACAGGCAATGGTCTGTTCCTAACACAGATTCCGGATAGGCTCAATACAATTGGGCATATCTAAGCATCCCCCTTCAATAGCCTACCGCTCCTCTCTTGTATCCTCCAGCAAACAATTGTACAGAAATAGAGCTTTTGAGTCGTGCTCTGTGATAGCACTCATCACCAAGACACAAACTCCACTTTGCCGTGCGAGGTAATTGTCATGCATCATGTAGACTATTAAAATAGACTCTTAGCAATTTGGCGGTGGAAGAAGCACTTTTCAGCTTAGAATGTGATATCGTGGGCGTAATTTTGTCGTAATGTAGAACACAAAATAATTTATCAGAACTGATCTAACGCTGCTTGTAACGGGGCACCCTTTGTTTGGGTGCCACGAAACTTCACGTACACTAGTACGCGCAGAGGAAGCTAATCTACACAACAACTAAGCTGAGTAAAGGTAAAATGAGAACTCTATTCAGTATAGTTAAGCTATCAATATAACTTTGATCTTCATCTAACTATGTTAAACTACGTCGTCGTATGACGACAACCTGCTCACCACTCATTACGCGCGTCTAGCAGCGATTGGTGGTAACCTTGGTTGATACGTCTTTTATCAACCAATCTTTGAGCAGCGCATGAATACGATCCTACAAAGGGATAATATTTCTTTCAATAAAATCCATCTCGGATAACATTGGCAGAATATTGTCATGCTAGACAATATTCCGATTGACACCATTTGGTGTCAATATCATGTAACGGGCTACCCCGTTACAACCAGGCTCTAGCTTTTGGCAAAATCTTCTTATAGGTGATCACGAGATCATACGAACAGCCAACCGTTTAAGCTTTAAAAGGGTATCAGACTTTCGTGAAATTCTGGATGGCAAACCCTTGCAATGAATAGAGAAAAGCGCGCTTAAAGCCGCGCGACTTTATGGATAAAATGCTGACGGCGAAACCTTGGGCATGGTTTACTGCTTGAAGTCCGTACAGCTTCCTCTTGATTTACGAATGGCCCGACTGGAAAAGGCTCTTCACAAATTCATGATGGAGCGGAGGAGAAATGAGTTGCCGTATCAGTCATGGCTTCATTTTGTGTACGGAGCGGCGCTACTGGAAGTGTCCAATAGAAGGATTAACGTCGTGAACAGTACCCCCAGAGGTGATGGTTAGATGTTTCATCGTCAAGTCGACGATCAAGTTATGAAGACGGAATAGGCGGTTCGACTAAGGCTGGATAGTGGACGATCTCTTGTTTAATCGTGATGTTCTCTTAGCATTTGCTAGCTCAGGCATGGTAAATTTACGATAAATAGATGGCCCAAGCGGCATGTAGGTGCATTTTGCAATATGGTGCACTTTGCAAAATTGTGTATTTTGCAACTTGGTGTTTTTAGAGTTGTTCAACAAGAATCAAGCTTAATGGATAGTCTGCGGCAAGGAATCCGAAATTGTTCGTGTATTTAGGCAAGAATGTTTGTGATTTTAGAGTCTCCTGTGGTGCTACTTGGACCGTAGCCTTCCGCGTTTTTATGCGGCTAATCACTCCTTTTGTAGGCGAGTCACTCGTTTTAGAAATTCTCTGTGCGAAATCGCGATTACCAACACACATTTTAGGGTGATTTGAAAGTTTTACACACCACAGGCTAAAACTGAACGACGGGTGAACAGTGGCATGCAGTATCACCTGGCGCAGTATGCATTTTGTTATGAGATCGGTACCACAATATAAACTGTGCTTGTTACTTGGCAATTGGCGCTCCTATGTTTTGTTTTATTACGAGGGTAGCCAAGGGTACTGTTATCACTAATGCAACGAGAAGAGGATAAAATGAACAGTAAATTACTCTTAGCTAGGTCCTTAGTTCGACGTTTCTACTCTAAGCCTATTCATATCGACTCCACGATAAAACTAATAACGATGAGATGCACCTCATCGATACATACAATCCCATTGTGTACTCTCTCCCATGTTGTGCATGGTATAGAAACATTTCTATACCATCAACAGTTACGCACAATCCCGTTGTGTCGTCCTTTCCCATGTGGTGCATCTCTTGTCACCACGATCATCCCATCTGCACATAGCACCAACACTATCGATATCGACAACGATGGCTGGGGAGATCATGGCATGTTGCTTTACCTCGGCGCACATTATTGATAGTACGGCTGAGGATGAATCCCATTGTATTGAAGGACTCTTGAATTATAACGATTAAGGGTGACATCATCTAAACCGACGTGTCGTACTTTATGTCCGATTGATATCAAACTGCAGTGTGTCCACTATGCTCTGTGTCAACAGTTCTAGTAAGATAAAATAGATAGAGTAGCAAAATACCGGGTCTTGCGCTGAAATTGGAGCAAAGATCTCAGCGTCGTGTCGAGCTGATGACTCACAAGTTAGCAAGAGAGCTGACGATTGGAGGAGCTGGTAGCGTTGCCTGAGTAGTTGCATCGTGAGCAGCAGCAGCTTCAGAAGGAGAAATACACACAACTACTGCGGCAATCCAGCAGCAAGAAATGTAATGTTTGACATTATCAAGCCATATCACGCAATTACCTGACGAATAGATCGAGAGACCTATCAGGACAATTCTAATTCCCATTTAGAAGTGACTGAAGGACGCAACTGCTAGGTGGGGTACATAGTGATCAGAATTTGATCAGTTTATTGTGGTAAATCGTGGACAGCTGCTAAGTATGTACGGAGCCCGATCGGTCAATGCACGACATTCAGGTCGGTCAATTAATTCACGCAATCAATGCCGAAGCCACACTTCGTCTTCTCCTCGCTACATAGCAGTTCAACAAGCTTCGATCCCACCTCGATCACAGTACCGAGGATCTGGTCGATCACGCACGTGCCGTTTACTACGACACGCTCTTTGGGGCGGTAATTGTAACGGGGCACCCTGAAGCTTGTACTGGTAACAGCACAAGCTACTTATTCTGATGACAGAATAAGGCGGTGCCTCGGAACTTCACGTACACTCGTACGTGCAGAGGAAGACGGTAAGAAGAAGCGAGTACTTGGTTAAAGTAAAAAGTAGAACAGTATTTAGTATAGTTAATGTCTGCAATAAATCACTATTTATCTTCATCTAACTATGTCTAAATACAAATGTGTAAATCAATTATCTGCTCACCACTCATTGCGTGCGTCTGTCGTGGCGCGTCTTCGTTGGTTGATATAATGGCCTATATCAACCAATTAGGAACTACTCGTAAGTGCTACAGAAAATTTGTCCTTATGACACTATTCTGAGAATATAACTCTGATATTTATATTCGATTAATAATTTCTTATAAATTGTTATGTAACGATTCACCCCGCTACATCACCCCCCCCTAACCATCAGTCACTTTAGTGACTGATTGAATAAATGGATACTCGTCCCAAATAATTTGGGACAGGGTTTGCACTTGTTGGTCCGAGTCCACTTTCCAACATATCATCGCATGGTTAACAAGCCCATGCGATGCGCGAGCAAGGCCGCCGAGAGCGCGTCCGCACGTCTCTGTGCGGACGCCGAAGCAGAAACCACAGCAACTGATGTCTCATCGATTGCTGAAGCGACCCAGCCTGTATCACCTGGTGATGCAGGCGCTCGTCATGAAGACACTCATGTCTTCACAGAGTATGAGCTCGGTGTCTCGTACTCTACTGATACGGAAGACGGATCCGTATCGACGGCGATCGAATCCGAGCCGCCTGCCAAGCGTGGCATGGACGATGCTATGCGTCGTAGCATCTTTGGTTCATCTGATGAATCAGATGAACCATCGCCGAAGCGAAGGCGATCGAGGTCGCGAGACTCGGGCGCTAACAGTGGTGTCGGTTCTCCTATGGACACCACTTCGCAACGAGGGGCCAGTCCTTGTCTCGGCACGTCGCAGGAAGAGCGGGACCGCAGTGTGTTGCGTCTCGCTCCCGAGAAGAAGGCATGGATGCCTCCCAAATCAGTCATGGATCACTTGTCGGCGACGACGAGTGATCGTTATCGAACACGGTTGTTCGATTCGTCAAGGATCCATCACCTTGACCCCAGCGCGAAAAACTATCGCGCTGAGAATAAATTCTTCATCGATGCTTTGTTGAGACATCGATGGTACAGTGGGAATCACAAGCGTGATGGTCCCTCACTGCTTCAGGCGTGGAACGCCTACATCCATAACCTTGAGGATGTAGGTCGTGACGTTTGGAACGACAAACTTATCAAAGCTCGTGATAAGTTTGAAAAGCGAACCCCAACAGGTGCACGCTACAAGCTGCATCGTCTGTCAAGGGAGAGTGGGTTACCCTGTCTCTCTTGGGGAGACTCGTGCCCATGTTGTGTGAACAACTCTGCACGAGCACCTAAGGAGGCTTACCTCCCTAATAGCCCGTGGTGGCGCGTACGTGTCTCTATTGAGATGTACGAAGGGATTGACAACTTGAAATCCCTTTACGACCGTGCCGGGAAGACTTTCTCCGGCGGTCCTTCTGCGGCACAGGATGTGCCGCGTCGTACTGCTCAACCAGA